GTGTGGACACATCAATGTCTAGTGGGTGCATTTGTGAGTGGGTGGAAATCCTGAGGGGGCAGCGGTGGGAAAAGGGGGTCTGTTATAAGAGCTCCTTTCCTTTCCTCTAAGTTTTTAGTCCTCTCTCACAGTGGGAGAGACCTCAAATCCCAGGACAATGGGCAGTGTGACAGCCTCTGTACAGGACAGCAGAGTCTCTCATTCCCAGATACCCAGAGTTCCATTCCAGGCCAGGCTTCTGAGATGTCTTTCTTCTGGCACCAAAATTGTAATGTTTGCTGAACACCAAGCAATTCTTCAAAATCAACACATTGTCTAAAATTGGAATTTTGGCCCCACTCAAGAGTCAGCACAGACCTTGATCCAGGGCTCAATCCCACAACACTGTCCTCACTGCAGATGCCAGTCACAAACCCTATGGGCCCATCTATGCTTTTGAGATACTGTTTAAAAATTCAGGACTCCCATAAATCTCTCAAGTTCAATAATTTTATAGAGCTACTCACAGAACTCAGCAAAACACTGTAGTTATGTTTACCCATTTATTATACAAAATACAACCCAGAAAACTCAAGTGGAATAACGCAAACAGCGTTAATAAAATTCTCTATCCTTTGTGTTCTCCAGGAACAGTTTATGGAAAGAAACATCCTCTCACTATCACTTAGATGGTGCTCTCTTGTCCGATCTATCACATAACTAGACACTGACTCTGCACATTTTCTTCTTTGTTGTATTAAAAAATTAGCAAAATTTGTCTTCAGTGGTCAAAATAAAATGCTTTTTTGTTTGTTTTTTGAGATGGAATCTCACTCTGTCACCCAGACTGGAGCGTAGTGGCACGATCTTGGGTCACTGCAACCTCTGCCTCCAAGGTTCAAGCAATTCTCCTGCCTCAACCTCCAGAGTAGGTAGGATAACAGGCACATGCAACCATGCCTGGCTAATTTTTATATATATTTTTTAGTAGAGACGGGGTTTTGTCATGGTGGCCAGGCTGGTCTCAAACTCTCGACCTCAAGTGATCCACCCACCTTGGCCTCCCAAAGTGCTGGGATTACAGGTGTGAGCCACTGCACCCAGCCTAAAATACTTCTTAATGAAACTTTACTTAAGTTTATCTCCTTTCCATAGGCTCCTGAACTTTGAGCTACCCTCAGTCTGAGCCAACATACAACCCCATTTTATGTTCCTCCTAAAAACTTGCTGACTTCATGGTAAAACAATTTCTGATCTAAAATCTGATTTTTTTTCATCTTCCATTTGCTATTCCCCTCTGACCTTCTAATCTTTTTCGCTCCTAAGAAAGAAAGCCTCTATCTGTTTAAACTTTGCAATCCTTAAAGCTCTTATAGTTGGTACTTCCTTCTGTTGCAATATTCTTTTAGAATTCAATTTTTTCTTTTACATAAACCTAATTTAGCTCTATTTTACAAAGTGTAGAAACTGCCTCAAAACAGCAACAATTTCATCTTCAGTAACACCCTCCCAATCCCATTCTATCTTAATGTTAACTGCATATGCCTGTGGGTCCCCAGCTTTCCAGGGCTCTGTAGCTTCTCTCAGTATAAAGGTTTCTTCCATGACTGGGGTCAGCAGGCTGGGACATCTGCAGGGAAGGTTTCCTAGAAAGAACGAACTGGGCCTTTAATAACCTCCCTCCCCAGCTGGGCGCAGGGGCTCACACCTGTAATCTCAGAACTTTGGGAGACCAAGGATTACCTGAGGTCAGAAGTTTGAGACCAGCCTGGATAACATGGTGAAACCTCGTCTCTACTAAAAATATAAAAATTAGCTGGATGTGGTGGCACCTGCCTGCAATCCCAGCTACCTGGGAGGCTGAGGCAAGAGAATTGCTGGAACTGGGAGGTAGAGGCTGCAGTGATCCAAGATCTCGCCACTGCACTCTAGCCTGGGCAACAGAACAAGGCTCTGTCAAGAAAAAAGAAAAAGAAAAAGAAAGAAAGAACGAACCTCCCCTCTTTTTGCAGGCTCAATGTTAGCATTAGTTTGGGGTCACTGGGCACAAGCTTTAATTTCCATGTCAGAATTATTCACTTGGTTTTTGAAACTGAAAAATTCAGAAAAATTACTCAAACACAGTGTTTATATAAGGGAAGGAAATTTTAAGGTACTTACATTTCATACCTCAATAAGAAATACAAAAGCATTTCTTCCTTTAAGACAATATATTATTTTATTATTTCCATTAAAAATCATGTAGTAAACAATTAGTTATATGGGAGCACTTCTAGGAGATACCAAGTTTCATCTCATAAAATTTAGCATTAACATCACATATCAAGATGATAGGGTATAGAACAGAGGTATTCACTATAACAAATGTATCCTGCAAAAAGAGGAACTGATGTTTTCATGAATCCATGTAACTCACCAATTATCTACCACATTTTCTTGTGGAAATGTATTCATTTTCTATAGCCAAAATGGAAGAGAAATTTTCCCTATTCTTTTCCTTCATAGCACTCTAAAAACTAAACCTTGGAATTCTGTTGGACGTCACCTAGTCTAAATTAAAGAAACACACCTGGCTAGGCGCGATAGCTCGCACCTGTAACCCCAGCATTTTGGGAGGCCAAGGCGGGGAGATCGGGCAGATCACCTGAGGTTGGGAGTTCAAGACCAGCCTGACCAACATGGAAAACCCTATCTCCACTAAACATACAAAAAATTAGTTGGTGCATGGTGGCGCATGCCTGTAATCCCAGCTGCTTGGGACGCTGAAGTAGGAGAATCACTTAAATCCGGAAGGCAGAGGTTTCAGTGAGCTGATATTGAGCCACTGCACTCCAGCCTGGGCAACAAGAGCAAAACTCCGTCTCAAAACCAAACCAAACAAAACAAAACAAAAACAACAACGAAAATACACACCTGAGAAAATTTCTAAACTCGGTGTGGGAAAGAAAAAGGTAAATGAGTTTTGTTTTTGTTTTTGAGACAGAGTCTTCCTTAAATGAGTATTCTTAAGAAATGGAATATAGGATTAGATACTGATTTTCTTCTGATCCCCACCTCTTTTATGCCCTTTGTAAATATTTTCTTATCTTTTAAGTCCTACTAATAAAATGCAAGTTACAGTTAACCCAGGGAGCAGCGGTGCTCATTAAAAAATAGATGTGTCTGACTCATGTGTCAAGTCAGGCCACCCAATCACTTGAGAGATTCTCCCACCCTCATCCTGCTCACTTAAGTGCTCAGTGACCACCCTCTCTGGAGACACTGCACTAGGCCCCAGTGAGTGCCCCAAGGTATATTTCACTTTGCAAGTTGTTGCACCATCTCACTGGAGCCAGGTTTGATTTTGGTTTTTTTTGTTTGTTTGTTTGTTTTTTGTCTTTTGGGATACTATTTTCTCTTTCAGAATTCTTGGAGAATCCAGGTGGCAGTAATTATTTGTGTTTTTCCCTCAATACCAACATCTGATTGGCTGACCAGCAATGTGTCTCGAGAAATTGAAGCCGGGTTGGTTTGAAGACAATCTTAACTTCTCAAAGGGTTTCCTTTTCAAAGGAAGAGTATCCCAGGAGACTCCTCTCGGACCCCGGGGCATCCACCTGATCCCTTGAAAGGCTATACTCCAACTTCAGGCTGTCCTATGTCTCCCATTCCCAAATACTCGGAGTTTCATTCCAGGCCAGGAGCTGAAATTTACTAGACATTCTAGCATACATAGCCACAGCGGATATCTTGATTTATCCCCAGACAGTACTGAAACCCAGAACCAGGGAAAAAACTGAAGGGTGGCTGAGGACACATTACCTTATAAAGTTTCCAAAGGGAAACCTTGACCCAAAAATATTCTGATAAGGTTTCTGTGCCTACAGGCAATAAAAGGAAAGGAGGCACAGAACAGTGTTTACAATACAGTGTCAGGGGATTATTCTTTGCTTTCTTCTCTTGGGAAATATTTACAAACAGAAAACAAATCTTCTTAAAAATGCCATCCAATGCTTTGTCAAAAAATGATGAAAATATGGTACTAATATGTACACTAAAGTGTACATTAAAGGACAAATAGTTGATAATATGAATTAGGGAGGGGAAATTGGCATTTGGGAATGTCAGAAGGAACTGGAAATTTAGTATTTTACTGCAAGCCAGAGTTAGGTTGGAGGAATGGGAAATGGGCAGGAGTCTTGAGACCCTGCTTGAGAAAGAAGTGAAAAATGCAGGGAAAATCAGTCCCCTGTGGAGTGTGAAAATAATTAAATGGCAGGCAATTAGACTGAGGTGGCTCCAGTCCTAGGGTTGCTTCTTTCAAAAAAATCTAACTCGAATGCTTTTTTTCTAAAGTATTACATTGGGGGAAAATAAAATTCAGGCTTAACCAACTGTAAACTGCCAATTAACCTCTCATTACATGACCAGGAAATTTCCACCTTGATCGTACAAATTAAGAAACTACATAACTCTACCTAACCAATTATTAAATTTGCTTTCCTTTATCATGAACCTTATAAAAGTGTTTTCTTCAAGCCCCTTCCATAAACCACAAACTACAAAACATAGCTTGGTGCTCTGCAATTCTTGAATTACTCTTTAATTAAATTCTTTAATATTTTTGCGGTGACTTCCACAAATTTTAATAGAAAAAAAGGGGGACTGGGAACCCCGCGGACCAAAGCTCTTCCCATTCATGAACTCCATACCCCGAGTCAGTGTTCTCCCCTGACCACCGTCCCGTGGTCCCTGCACAATAATCAGGGAGGGATGCGGCAGTGGGGGCAGAGCTGCCCAGAGAGGACTCCAGGCCAGGGCACAGTCACTCCGCAGGGAGGAGACAGGACTCCCGGGGTCCCTGCTGCCAGCCCGGCCGCCATCCTATGGCTGAAGGGGACTGACGGCCGAGCTGCGCCAAGAACTCTGGGCCGAGGATTTTGGAGCCAACTGCGGGTAGGCCAGAGTCCCGCCACAGCCACTTCCCACCAGTTCCAACCAGCCCCGCCCCTCTCTCGGGATGTCGGACCCGGCACTCTCACCATTTTTAGGCTTCCAGGGGGTCCTGGGGTCTTAGCTGTGCATCTCTCAATACCTGCAGGTAACGGGGCCACAGAGACTGGGCCTCTGGGAGCAGAAGACACACAGCAGTGAAGACTAGACCAGGAGCTTCGGCTGCAGCGAGAGACAAAGGCCCCGCCAAATCCGGAAGCCGTCCTGTCTGCTGTTGCTGCCTGCCTGATCGGACCGGTCCCAGCCCAGCGTCCCTAATTGGATAATGCCTAGGGCCCCACCCCCTCAGACCCTGATTGACAGAAGATGTGCTCAGATGCTGGGCTGAATGTAGAGAGAAACCTAAGCCTTTTCAGGCAGAGCTTCCTCCCTAAGCTGACCCAGGCCCTCCCCAGACGGCATTTGCCTTGTAAGGCAACCCTCTGAAATAAAATGTGAACCATATGTGAATTCCAAATTTTCTACTAGTTAAGAAGAAAGAAGAAACAGGTGAAATTCATTCTAACCATTTAATAACCCAATATATCCAAAATATTATTTCAGTGTATGAGCAATATGTAATTATTAATGTACTGTACATATTCTTGGAACTAAATCTTTAAATCTAACTCTATATTTTACCTTTGTAGCACATCGCAGTTCAGACCAGCCATATTCCAGGCATCCTGTAGCCACACATGGCCAGTAGCCACCACATTGAAGTGCAGCTCTGACGTCAGGGGGTTGAAGGGCCTGAACATCCCTTTTCTGCCAAAGGTGAGGCAAGAGCCTCTCCCTACCAACATCTCTCTTCAGTTCCAAGGATGAAACAGATACTGGCCATAAAAAGAGCAAAGGACAGCAGGAATAAAATTACCTCAGGTACTGAGGTTACAAGCACTGCTGGCCACCAGTTGCTCACCTTTCTTCAAGAGATTAGACAGTGAACAAAGAATGATGAGGTCACAGGAGAAGAAAACTCTATGTCTTTAGATCTGTACATAGTATAGACCTCCAATGTTTAGAAACAGAGAAAATAGAAAAAGGCAAACTCATTTTGCTGTTTGGCCTTGGCCCTAATGGTCAGGCTGTGGTTTTTCTGTTTTCTCCTGTTGTATGTGGTGGTGCTGTGTGAGTATAACCACCAATCACATGTATATGTCCACATGTATTTCTGCATTTTTCAACATTATCTTACAAGACATTCAACTTTAAATCAGGGGGGAAAAACTTAGTACTTTTAGGGTAACTAAATTAGAAGGTAACTAGTAATCAATCTGTCATTAAAGCCTGGCATCTTATCTGCACTGGGTGCATGTATTAGTTAGCTGTTATAGTGTAACAAACCATCCAAAGCTTATTAGCATCATAATTGAGATGGTCAGGCTTTTAGACTGGGCTCAGTGGGACCATTCTTCTAGTCTCAACTGAGCTCCTTCAGACATGTATTATCAGCTGCTTGTTGACTAAGGAGCTATGCTTCTGGGAGTGAGCTTCTGCTTCTGGGGCTGTCAACAGAGGCAACTTGCTTCTCCTCCCCATGGTATCTTGTCTGGCTTACATGGGCTTTTTTTCATGGAAATGGCAGCATTCTGAAAGAAAAACAGAAGCATTCAAGAACTTTTGAGCCTACGCCTCAAACTAGCACACTGTCATGTTCACTGGTTTCCACTGCCCCGAGCAAATAAGGCCAGCCAGATCCAGGGACTGGAAAACAGGTTCTGAGTCTCAATGGGAACAGCTGTAAAAGCACCTGGCAATGGGCATGGATACAGGAGGGATAAAAACATTGCTACCATTTTTGCAATCAGCATCATTCTGCCGTTTTGTGCGTATGTAGTTTATAGAACTGTTCCACATCAAAAAATTGTCCAAAGACCCACAGTGGCTGGGCTGGGACTCAGGATCAACTCTGTGTGACGCTTGAAATCCTGGAGAGTGACACTTCTAAAACAGAAGTCAGATTTATTTTAGATTTGTGCCCATATAGTACTGCTTATTATTAGAATAATTTTAAAATGGCTGGGCATGGTGGTTCACACTTGTAATCCCAGCACTTTGGGAGGCCAAGGCAGGTGGATCACAAGGTCAGGAGTTCAAGACCAGCCTCACCAACATGGTAAAACCCTGTCTCTACTGAAAATACAAAAAAATTTAGCTGGGTGTGGTGGTGGGTATCTGTAGTCCCAGCTAGTTGGGAGGCTGAGGCAGGAGAACCTCTTGAACCTGGGAGGCAGACGTTGCAGTGAGCTGAGATCACGCCACTGCACTCCAGCCTGGGTGACATAGTGAGACTCTATCTCAAAATAAATAAATAAATAAATAAATAATCTTAAGAAATTGCAGAAACACACGGTGGTTCACACCTGTAATCCTAGCACTTTGGCAGTCTGAGATGGGAGAATCACTTGCACTCAGGAGCTCAAGTGCAGCCTGGGCAACATAGTAAGATCCTGTCTCCATAATTTTTTTTTTTTAAATTATCCAGGCATGCCTGTAGTTCCAGCTCCTCAGATAGCAGAGGTAGGAGTATTACTTGAGCCTAGAAGGTCAAGGCTGCAGTAATCCATGATTGGTTACACCACTGCCCTCTAGCCTGGGTTATAGTGTCAGACCCTGTCTCAAAAAAAAAAAAAAAAAAAAGAAGAAGAAGAAAGAAATTGCAGGAGCATTTGAAAAGGGCATAGAATAATTTGGAAAAAATAGCTGAAGGACGAGTTGAGAAAATCAAAGCCAAACCACACATTACTTATTTTTTATCATAGAAAAATATTGAAAATTAAAAAAAAAAACTCTAGAGAAATGAAATGTTACAGAGTTTAATTGAACAAAGAATGATTCACAAATCAGGCAGCCTGTGGAGCCAGAGTAGGCTCAGAGAAACTCCAGCACAGCCACATGGTAAAGAAAGACTAATGAACAGAAAAAGCAAAGTGACATACAGAAAATGAAAGTGAGGTACAGAAACAGCCAGATTTACAGTTTGGGATTTGCCGTATTTGAACATGGTTTGAAGATTTGATATCCTTTTATTGGGAAAATCACAGTGGTTAGTACAGGAATGGGTTACAGTTAGGTTTCAGTTTACTATGTACAGAAAGAAAAAAACCTATTGACCAAAATTAAACATGAAAGGGGAGGGACAGCTTCGGGCTATAACTAATTTAACAATTTCTTGCTTTTGGTTATCTTCTCAATTGTGAGAGATAAACCACAACTTGATACATTATATTCTGCCATCATCAAAAATATACTTATTTAGTCTCAAATCTCATTGTGAAATAGCAGAACTGTGAGTTTTATAAAGTGGAAACCAGGACTTGAGGATATTAATATTTTTAAGAATTACAGTAGGGGGACCTCCGTACATTAAAATTTGCTTCTTACAGAATAAAAACAAAGCCTGGCCTGTTTTAGCATCTACCTATTTTCTTAAATTTTTAGTTTGAGTATGTCATATTTAGCATGAGTGACTCCATTTTGGTTTGGTTTGGTTTGGTCTGTTTGGACCTAGTGCATAAGTTCAGTCCGGAATGATAGCCTCCAATAATTTCTTTTAAAAATTCCCCCATTTTGGTTAAGTTTTCACATAGGTCAGAGTGTGACCAAAACATTGGGCCTTAGTGCCTCTCTCAGTTTCCATTATTTTGGGTTTTTGTCCTTATCATATCATTCATAGGTTATGGTGTCCTCATGGTCACATATGTCTTTGAGTTTTCATCATTCCCATTAAAGAGAGGTCATTTGACATTCTAGAGATGACTGCATGCAAACATTTATAACTTTTGAGAGAATACAGTGCAGTAGGGAGACTACTATTTTGACTGTTGGGAGGATAACACCAAGAGTTTGAAGTATGCTTTTTAACCAGAGTCCCCATGAACAAACCAACTAAACTTAAATAGATCAAATAATCAGCTAAATAAGTGGTCTACTCATTTCAACCAAGGAGTCTGTTTCTTTTTTTCTTTTTTCTTTTTTTTTTTTGAAATGGAGTCTCGCTCTGTCGCCCAAGCTGGAGTGCAGTGGTACGATCTCGGCTCACTGCAACCTCCGCCTCCCGGGTTCAAGTGATCCTCCTGCCTCAACCTCCCAAGTACCTGGTACTACAGGCATGTGCCACCACGCCCGGCTATTTTTTTGTATTTTTAGTAGAAATGGAGTTTCACCATGTTAGCCAGGATGGTCTCGATCTCCTGACCTCGTGATCCACCCGTCTTGGCCTCCCAAAGTGCTGGGATTACAGGTGTGAGCCACTGTGCCCAGCCCAGCCTGTTTCTTAAACCCCATAATGAAATCTTTGTAATACCTGATGTATTTCTCCATGTGCAAGTACACGTCTTAGCAACTACACAATACTTTTCTGTTTATCCAGTAAGTAATCTAAAGAAATTCTATTATTTAGCACAACTTTAGTAAAAAATTTAAAGTCCATTGTGTAACCACAGCCTTTACAGTAGAATCTGCTCTTGAGACTATTATGAAGAATAAATGCCTGACTATTGCCTGATTTACTCTAAACCATGAAAGAAAAAGACCAAACAAATGATGCTTATTTAGAATAGCAATGGCCTCCTGGCAATGCTCTTTAACTTATTCTGAATAAATTATCTTTAACTTATGAAGTAGGTTAAAAGCAGTGGACCTATATTCTGCTTCTGATATTATCAGAAAACAAATGTCTCATTAGAATTTTTCAACCACATTGGCTCTTCATCATTTATCTACCAAGGCATAAGTTTGTTCATATATAAGGTTGACTGCAAAATTCTCTACATATAAATGTATATCTCACGTGAGTGCACACAAGAGGTCTTTTAAAAAATTTTTTGTTGTGTGTAAAGCCATAAGAAAAAAACTGTGAATGATGAGTGTCATGATAGCAGAGATACCTTGATTTTTGGTCTTGTGTGAAAGGCTATCTACATCAAGGTTGCCATTTGCTTTTGAGGAGATACTTTTCTTGTTAGCTTTACCTTAAGATTTCCAATGGGTATACAATTGCAAGAGTTTGGAGGGACCCTTCTGAGTTGTAAGATTATGAACCAAGGCACAAGGTCCCAAAGTCATGCCGCACTGTAGCTGAGAAGCAGACTTAATCTCTTGGTTCTAGATTATAAAAGATTTTATTGCCCTCAGTCAGTAGACTATTAAAAGCTTTCTTGTCCAAGCACAGTGGCTCATGTCTTTAATCCCAGCACTTTGGGAGGCTGAGGTGGGCAGACCACTTGAGATCAGGAGATTGAAATTGGCTTATCCTGGCCAACATGATAAAACCCTGGTCTCTACAAAAAATACAGAAAAATAGCCAGGTGTGGTGTCACACAACTGTAATCCCAGCTACTCCCAAAGCTGAGGGATGAGAATTGCTTGAACCTGGGAGGCAGAGGTTGCAGTTAGCAGAGATCATGCCACTGCACCCTGGGCGACAGAGTGAGACTGCCTCAAAAAGAAAAAGCTTTCTTTACTTGGTGAAAATATGCTTTGCCATAATGCATTAAGGCCTTGCTGCATTTAGTCATATTAGACTTCAGTACCAGAAGATACATGAGATTATATTATAAGGCGCATAGGCCTTCCAATGACTATTCTATAATGGTCAACACATTTTTTCCTCTCTAAGTGGATC